GTCCAGGGGGGGGGGGGGGGAGGGTGACAACCAGGGGGTGGAGCACGTGCAGCAGCAGCAGGCGGAGTGTGGGTGGGTGTATGTGTGTGTGAGAGAGAGAGTAGGATCATCCTGGCTGGGCTTTGATCGTGGCAGGGCACCGGTGGCTCCCCAGCTCGACACGTCACCCAAGCATCTCGGCAGCCGGAGGCGGCCCACCACCACCACCCTGGCAACCTACCACCCCGCCCCATCCCCGCCCCCATCCCCACCACACACCAGGCCTAGGCTCACCCATGGTAGCCGCCATAGGGCTGCACCGCGATGGGGGAGCTCCAGATGGCGTTCAGGTTGAGGCCCTGTATGTAGCGCAGCTGCTGCAGCATGCCCCTCCATGTGCCGCCGCAGTAGTTGCTCAGGCTGCCGCACTGCTGGCCGCGGCTGCCTGGCATTGCCTGTGGCGCAGCGAACCTGTCTGTCAGCAACTGGTAGACTGCTTGTTTCTGCCAAGGCACATTGCTGAACGCATGCACCGGCTGCGCCAGCGCCGCGGCCAGAAGCGCCGCCAGGAGCAGCAGCGCCAGGGTCGGTGGCGGGCGCTGCAGCAGACCCATGTGGCCTGCGCTTGTGACGTGCCTTCCTCGAGGGCGCCCTGCATGGCAGTGGGCGTGTGTTGGGCTCTGAGCACAAGTTGCACGCACTAGGGCTTCGAGGAGTGCCTGTTGCCGCTGGCGGTGGCAAGGAACTGTTTGCGTTGTGCGCGCCACTGGAACGCGCCGCTTACTACAACAGCTAGATAGATGCAGCGAGACACAGAGGAGGATTTCACGGCGCAGAAACCTCTGAGTTGCCCTAATCGTCCCAGCAGCTGTGTTGTGCTGACACCTCACAACCTGACACCCCGACGCTCTGTCCGGCCTCGAGTGCTGGCGCGTGCACCAACAAGCGGTGCGCTTCTTGCGCGCTCCAACCAGCCGCGTACCTGTTTTTCCCCTGAAGAATCGTTCGCTACGGCTGGACGGCCGCCAAAAAGCAAGCTGTGTTCGAATCAAATACAAGGCTGTGATGGTCTTCAGAGCATGGGAGGACAGAATGCTGAATCCTCGCTGGCGCAGCAGGCACAGCGATGGCGACGGTTCCGCAGTATATTACTCGTTGCAGGTCCATCTGAACGCGCCATTCCAATTGTGCTATTACCAATTGGGCGGCAGTTTCTGTAGGCGCAGCGTGCGGGCCTGGAGCTCCTCCTGACTCTCAGGCACAATTAGCCGAGCATTTTGAGCCACTCCCCGGGCGCAATGGCTCACGATGGGGAAGGGCAGGCGCGGGCCCTGCACAGCCCAGCACTCTCCCCGCTCGCTGAATTCCGGCCTCCCCGCCCATGTCTCCGTTGTGTGGTGCAATGCCCCCTCGGGGAGAGCTAGGCGAAGCAGTTCCCGCAGAGTCGGTGATCAGGGCTCCGCTTGGGGGCGAGGGGAGGCTCAATCAGCGGGCGTAGCCCAGCCTCTATGACGTCTGAGTCGCTCTGAAGCAGCGGGAACGGGGCTGGGAGTCGGCTGGCTCTCCGCCCATGCGATGGTGCCGGAGTGAGCGAGGCGGCCCGCTGACCGCCTCAAACGGCTCCACTAATTACCCAGCAATTATTGCAAGCGGGAAACAGCTCTCTCAGGGGGTGTTTGAAGGAAAGAGGCTATTGGGCAATAGGATAATTGGAATGGCGCGTTCAGATGGCCTGCAGGCCTACCTGTCAGATGGACCTGCAACGAGTAACAATACTACCACTCAATCCCCTTGTCCCATTGAAAGGACGACACTCGTTCCTGTGGCCCACCCAGCTGTCAAGCTCGCTAGCTGAGTGCGGACGCAGGAAGGCCAGGCCCTGTTGCACTTCTGGGCAGGCCGCACGGGAGCATCGCCTTTGCAAAGAACACAATTGTGGGAATGCCATCATGCTAATTAAATATAGCCAGCTACATGGTGCTTGGCGATGCGACTGCCCCGCAGCTGGCTAGTGGCTTGGGCCAGCACCAGCAGCGCCGCAGCAGTCGCACCTGCTGACGCTGCTGCTGCTCGCGGTGTGTGCTCTACTTATGTTTCTTGTTGTGTAAATTGAAGTACACCTGTACACAGAGGACAGGAATGCAGCTGCTTGGAGCATCATCAGCAGGCAATCCAGTCCATTCTGGCGGCCTTAAACAGCATACAAATGCAGATGCAGTGACCGGCTCAACACGCTGATGCCTTTCTGGCTTGCTGGCTCCGGCAGCGTGCGCCATCAAACCATGGGCGGTTAACGTCACCTTGTTGAGAGTGACGAAAGCGAGCAGGCCCGCCACAAGCCTGGTTCTCTGGGAGCGCGGCGTGCTTGGCATCAGGCGCCTCTTTGCAGCAACGGGGAGTCGCTGTCAGGCGCCCGCCCTGCCGCCGTCCCACTGTGCCCTGGCGGCGCTGGCAGGAGCGAGGTCTTCGAGTTGGAGACAACGCCTCGACACCAGTCTCAGCACAGGGCTCCAGGCGAGGCGAGCCGAGCTTGGGGCTGGGCGTTCACCCCAAGTCCTCGGCACGGGGTGCCTCGCTGCGAGCAGGCCGTGAATCTGCTGTCGGAGGGTTCCGGGGGCTCTCAATTTAAGTCGATAGGGCGGATCGACAAGGGCTTTCATTCTGCTGACCTGGCAATCTCAGTTGGCCCTGTTCTAGCCTCCATATTGCTATTGCTATTGTCGCATGGAAGACTGACACCGTCCGGTGAGCATTCGCTGGGCGTGCCCAATACAGTTCTGCTCGATGCCGCCGCCGCTCCACGCTGAAAGCAGCCCCGCCCCATGTCCTGCAGTGGGGAGCGCTTGGGGACTCCTAGGGAGGGGCGCCGCCGCCATGGAGAGCCTCTACGCCCAGCAGCTCCAGGGCAAGCATCCTGGCCGCCGCTGCTGCCGCCACCTCCACTGCTGCGGCTCGCTGCTTGATGACGGGAAGCTGGCTGCATGCCCCCAACGCAACCTTGTTTTAGCCTCTACCGGTCCTTGTCCAGCCAGGGCAGCAACGCCGCCGTCTGTGTCGGTCTGCCCCTGGTCTCCCCGCCCCCACCGCGGGCCCCTGCGCCCGCCCGATGGTCGCCCCATGCACGAGGCCGCCTGCCGCCGCTGCGCCCGCTGCCCGCAGACATCCTGCTGTCCTGGGACTACTGGGAGCTGGAGAGGCGGATGGCGGATGGCGGCGGGCCCATCGCGGAGCTGCCCACCATCCCCCAGCAGTTTTCCAGCGTGGAGGTGTGGCGCCGCCTGGCCGCCTCGCACCCTGCGCAGGCTGGCCGCCTCTCGGGGCCGCAGCAGCGGGCGTGGTCCCCACGCGGCGCCGCCAGCTCCAGCCATCTGCTCTGCGCAGCGCTGCCGCATGTCCCGAGGCGTGGCCCCATGCGCCCCCGCCGCCGCCCCGCAGGAGTATGTGCGGGTGTTTGGGCCGCTGCTGCTGGAGGAGTGCGCGGCGCAGCTGCTGCGGGGGCAGGAGGAGGGGCAGGTGCTGACGTCGCAGGTGGGCTCATAAAGGTGGTGGTGGTGGTGTGCCAGCGTACATGTTGTGTGTGTGTCACGGGGGCATGCAGCGACACCCCATTCTGCCGCGGTAGTGGTGTGGTGCCCAGCGAGACGAGCAGCAGATGCAAACCAAACCCCTCCCGCCTCTAGCCTGCGCCGCTGCCGCGGCCACTGACCCCACCCTACCTTGGTTCCACCCCGCCCCGCCCCGCCCCACGTCGTCGACCGCAGCGCGCGGTGGTGGCTGCCGCCAGGCTCCGGCCCGAAGACGAGTCGCTGGTGGTGCGGCTGACGCTGCCTGCGGGCGCCACCAGCTCGCTGCACGAAAACGACATGCTGCTGGTGTCCCGAGACAGCCCAGAGGCAAGGGCAGGCGGCGGCGCCGCCCGCGGGCCGGCTTGCGGCGGCGGGGAGGTGCCATGCCGCGTGCTGTGGCTGCGGCTGCGGCCGCGGCTGGCCAGCGCATGCACAGCTGCTGTGCTGCGGCGGCCATGTGCCCCCTCAACCGCCGCGCCTCCTCCACCCTGCTGCCGCCGCCGTGCTGTCGCCGCGTGCAGGAGGAGCAGGGGGACGAGCTTCACCATGCGCTGGGGGTGATGGAGGGCCACGAGGGCGACCAGTCTGTGCGGGTGCGCTTCAGGCTCACAGACGACGGCCAGGCGGGCAACGAGCGCGGGCTGCAGAGGTGTGCGTGTGTGCATGTGCGTGTGTGTGTGTGTGTGGTGGGGGTGGGGCAACATGGGATGGGGACGGGCCCCTGGCAGCCGCGGCCTCTCCCCACCAGTCCACCACCGGTGCGACATCCCCCTCCCACCAACCCCGCCTGCTGCGCCTCACCGCCGCCTGCCCGCCCGCCTCCCCGCCCGCCCGCCCGCCCGTGGGCGCAGGGCGCGCGCGATGCGCGGCTCTCTGGCCCGCACCGACAGCCGCTGGTGGGCCCTCAAGCTGTCCTCCATGTCCACCATCATTCGGGAGTGGGCGGCCATCCACTGCGTGGCGCACATGCCGCTGAGGGAGGTGCTGCTGACGGCGCAGGTGGGGCGTGGCGGGTGTGGTGGGTGGGTGGGGGGTGGATAAGTGGATGCATGGGTGGGTTGGTGAGGTGGGGAGAGCAGAGGAGAGGTGAGGGGCGTGGGTATTACCAGACACAGAGCACTCGCAGCCCCCTCACGCCCTGTCGGCCCCGTGTGCCCGCCCCCCGCCCTCCCCGCCCGCCCGCGTGCAGCCCTCCCAGAGCCTGCTGGCTGCGCGCGGCAGGCTGGAGGTGCCGCCTCAGATGAGGGCCACCATGCAGAAGACGTACAACGACTCGCAGGTGGGGCGGTGGGGGAGCTGGGGACGTGAGGTGGATGCGGGGAGGTGAAGTGAGGGGAGTGGA